TCGTGCCCCGCTTTAGCCCCACGGGTCCCAATGCCCCTCTGAGCGCCAGGGGTGAACCCGAGGAGGACCCCGCTTTCTGGCACCTGATGATGATCCGAGCACGGCTCATACCGTGCGCCGCGGCGTGGGCACCAGGTGAGGACCACCAGGACGTGTTCTGGGCATGGCTCGAGGACTGCGTCCCGTACATCCTGGCGACGCTCCATCTGCCACAGTACGACCACTTTTTCCAGGAGGACTCCGAGGAGAAAAACGACGCCCTGCGCCAGCGCACCGCGTTCGACATGTGCGAGGACATCTGGCACAGAGCAGGCCCCGACAGACAGCGCACCAACCGCAACCTCACTCGTATCCAGGGCAGCCGCGAGTACCCACTCGCTACTTTGGCCTCCTTCTGGAATACCAGGGCGCTCGTGCCCAGCTCGTCGGCCCTGAGGCTTTCACGGCACCATTGCCGCCATACCTCTCACGGGCCCACGCCTTGCTGCCAAGAGGCCTCCCTCCACCTGACCAAGACGCCCTGGCGTACCTCGCGGATGCGATCCTGCACCACCCGCCAGACATGCAGCCGCTTGTCGAGGCGGAGCTCGCCGCGGCACCGATGGAACCGCTAAACCTACCACCGCCAGCTGGCCCCCTCGCCCAGCACGCCACGTGTGACCAGCCCGCAGCCGACGCCGAACCGCCTCTGCTCCAGCACATCGCGGCCAGCGATATCAACATATCCCTGGACTCGTTCCACGCGTCGGACGATAGCCAGGACGACATGGAAACCCAGGATCGCGACGGCACGGCACCGCCAGGTGACACGGCCCAGCGTGACCGTGACAGCGAACCCTACATAGGGCGCCCCCCGTCGCACAGCAGTCCGCCCAACAACTCGGCCCAGGCCGACCCCAGCGCGCAGCTCAACGACGCTGAAGGCGCCACTGCCGCCGACGAGACAAGCCATCCCACTGCATCGCCAGCTCTAACCAGCCCGCGCAGTGGCGGCTTCAGCCCCGCTGCAGCATTGGCTGGACCTGGACGTCTTCAGACCTCAGGTGGCAGAACCACGCCCCGCACCCTTGTCTGCCGTGCTAACGCGACTGACTCCAATTCCAGCGCCGTCGACCACTGGCAGGCTGGCATCGACAACGCCCCATCGACGACGCGAGCCCAGACGCCAGCGGCTCCTACGAGGCCCCGCACAGCGCAGCGGCCTCACGACGCTGTGGCTGTCTCATTTGCCTCTTCGTGGCCACGTATGCCATCGTGGTAGCCATGCCGTACAAGGACCAGATCGACGGGTACTTGCCGACACCGAGCCGTGACCCCAGCTACCGGCAGCGACGACGACGTGAAGCGGCAGCGCCAGGCCCATCTGTGTCCACTACACCCCGACGCACAACGGCATACAACGTCACGTCCGCCTTGTGGGGTATTCTCAAGTGGACCAGCGCCAAACTCAGAGATATCGTCTCGGGCGGAGCCAGCGCAGGCGGGTTTGGCCTCGGGGGTGTCCTGAAATGGGCCAGTGGCAAACTCGAAGCTATTGCCACTGGTGGAGTGGTGTGCGGTCTACTTCCGGTCGGCGCCAAACTCCTCGCTCAAGGAGCCGTCGGACACGTAGGAGCCCGCATTTGTGCGCGCGCCCTGGACTCATCCACGGCCCAGTGGTGCTTCCGCTGTTGCCAACCGAGCAGGAGGCCGCGGGATGAGGCCACACACACAATGCCGCGCACGCATCCCGACGAACCCGAAAGCCAGCACGTGCACCCACTTCGACATCCGCTGCTACAGGAACACTATGCTGCTGCAGTTGCCGCCGCAGTCGCCGATGTCACCACCGCCACCACCGCCGCCATTGCCGAAGTCACGGCCGCGGTATCGCGAGCCTCGTCTGTCACACCACGATCGACCAGCCCGTCCCCGCGAGACGGCTCCATAAGCGGCATGGCTTATGGTACCCCACCGACTCACGAAGACGCCACAGCTCAGGCCAGCGACGCCGAGGCAAGGGAACCACGTGAGCGCACCCGCGACAGCCCGTGGTCCATTTTCCGACATGCAGATGCTCGTGGTTCCTCTTCCGACATGGACACCCAACCCAGAGGTCCTTTTTTTCAGTTGTCATTGAAACAATTGAAACAAACTGAAACTAGTTGAAACCAATTGAAACAGTTGAAACTAGTTGAAACTAATTGAAACTAATTGAAACGAGGTGAAACTAACTGAAACGAATTGAAACTAGTTGAAACAACATGAAATGAGTTGAGCCACGAACGACTCAAACCAATCGAAACTGAGTGCGGGCGCGCTGTTTTCCCCTTATCAAAGAAGCGCGCCGCATGGTGCGGTACTTGCTAGAAGCAATAACGTGGCCACCGCTGAGGTGATGGTGCTAGCGGAGCCATTCCACACCAAAGCAATCGACGTGGCCGCGTCGTGCTCGCCGCACGGTTTGAGCCAAAATGGCGCAGGAGGCGGGATGAGAAGGAGAGGGGGGAAGGAAGGGAGGGGGGAGGGAAGGGATGGAGGGGGGAGGGAAGGGAGGGAGAGAGGCGAAGGAGGCGGGAGGGGGAGGGAAGGGAGAGAAGGAAGGGAGGGATGAGGGGAGGGAGAGAGGAGGATGAGGACGAAGAGGAGGAGGAGGAGGGAGGAGGAGGAGCGAGGAGGAGGAGGAGCAGGAGGAACAGGAGGAGGAGGATGAGGAGGAGAGGAGGAAGAGGAGGAGGAGGAGGTAGGGGGGGGAGGAGGAGGAGGAGGAGGAGGAGGAGGAGGAGGAGAACGGGGACGGGCCGAGGGCGGGAGGCTGCAGGGGCACGGGGTATGGCGGGACGGGCAGGGCCGAGGAGAGAGAAGAGGGAGAGGAAGTTAGAATTGATACTGATGGTTTTTAGGGACAGGGAGGGGGAGGAGGAGGAGGAGGAGGAGGAGGAGAGGACGAGAGACGAGGAAGAGGACGAGGACGAGACGAGGACGAGAGGAGGAGGAGGAAGACCCGAGGAGGAGGAGGAGGAGGAGGAGGAGGAGGAGGAGGAGGAAGAGGTAAAGTTGTTGCTCGTCTACTCCGCCGCCATTTCCGATTCCGCCGCGGCCATTGCCACCATTCGTTCCGCTGTCTTCGTCCTCGTCCGTGCCTTGCTGCTGCTATTGTTTTTGTTGTTGCTGCCGCCGTCCTCCTCCTCCTCCTCCTCCTCCTCCTCCCTCCTCCTCCTTCCCCTCCCCTCCTCCCATTTTCCTCATCCTCATCCTTGTCCTCATCCTCATCCTCATTCCTCATCCTCCTCTCCTCTTCTCTCTCTGATCTTCCTCGTCCTCGTCCTTATCCTCCCCTCCTTCTCCCTCCTCCTCCTTTTTTTTTTTTTTTTTTTTTTTTTTTTTTTGTTTTTTTTTTTTTTTTTTTTTTTTTTTTTTTTTTTTGTCCTCCTCCTCCCGGCGCTGCTGCAGCAGTCGCGCACCTGCAACCGAAATTAGGCTTTCGACCCCATCCATCTCAGGACAGCATTTCTCTAGCCAGATCGGTCCTCGAGGGCCCCGGGGGCCGAAACGAGAAAAAAAACGCCAGTCGAAAGCCCAGCGTTACTGCTCATTCTCGCCGCCGTCGCTCGCGCCCGGGGCAGGTGGAGAGGGCCAGGAAGTCAGATAGGTGACAGGAGTTGGAGTAGGACAGCGTGGAGGGGAGTGCGGGCTAGAGAATGCGACTGACGCGATCGGGGGGGGGGGGCACGCACCCCTCGAAAGAGGAGATACTGTACGCCGTGGTGCTTCACACTCGGGTCATCCGCTGAGATCGTGGTTCTGTGTTTTTTCAGTGGTGTCCAATTGTCGATGCCAAAGGTCGATGTCAGAAACTCTCGAGCGCCGTGCAACACTGGCATTCGCTGGCTCAAACTCGCGACCTGCGTAGCTTACCGACACAAAACAGCGAGTGAGACGTGCATGTCAAGCGTAGCATGGGCAGGGATGAAATATATCAGACGCAAGTGGTGGAGAGGGGGAGGTATCGAGAGAAATGAGGATATATAAATGGATAAGAGGAGATGCGTTTGGAAGTCCATTGCGCATTTGTTTCTCCGTGTCCACGCTCGTCAGACATTTCCCCTCTCCCTCTATCTCTTTCTCTTTTTCTCTCTCTATCTCTCTCTCTCTCTCTCTCTCTCTCTCTCTCTCTCTCTCTCTCTCTCTCTCTCTCTCTCTCCCCTCCCTCTTTCGCGTCCGATGTTCTCTCCCTCTGACTCTGCCCTCCCCCCCTCTCGCCCGTCTCGCTGATCCTTCCTTCCTCCTTGCCTCCCTCCTCCCCTCTTCCCTCTCCCTCCTCCCTCTCCCCTCCCTCCCTCCCTTCTCCCTTCCCTCCTCTCCCTCGTTCCCGACCTCTCTCACGTTACGTACGGTTGTTGCTATCTCAACTTGAGGGTAGATGGAGAAAGAGACAGAAATAGCGCCACCCATCAACGCTTCATGCCACTGAGCACGCAAGCCATGACGAGCCCAACGACAGGGACCGTCATTGCGTTCCCGAGCGCCTTCCGAGGATTGGGCAAGTTGGCAACCACTTGTGGGCTGAAGCCCTGGAGGACAGCACGCTCCTCGTTTGAAATGAAACGCTCGAAACGCGTCCCGCCGACCTCGAACACGTACAAAGAATGGTTTTTCGTCGTCAAGGTGGGGACCGTCCCGTCCACGCGGAGAACTGGAGACCTCACCTTAGCGGGGTCCCTGCACACATCGCACGCTGCAATCGTCCCGGGCGAAGCCCACTTACGAGCCTCCCTCCTGTAATACGCTAAGTTTGACTTCATCTTGGGAGTCAGCTGGCGCAAATTACTCGGCAGCCCGGGATCAAGGATCTGTTTCAGGCTGAGGCCTTTGATTTTAAAATCAGCTGGCGAATGGCTAGGGAAAGGCACCTCGAACGCACTGGCCTTGCGGCCGCAAATATAGTAGCGCGGCCTGGTCTGCGGAACACCGAATTCACAGGAGTTGAGCTTCCATGCTACGATCACCCAGCCTTTCAATCCATTGTGAAGGCCTTCGAGCACCTCGTCTAATGGGGATTTACGTTTACCTTTGGGCTTGTCGCCCAGTCCACTAACGTTCTCGATTACAAAAGCAACGAACTTGCTGCCTTTCCTGTTCGCCTGATCTATCACACAGTCCGTCGTAGCCGTAAAAGTAGATGAGCGCTCGTCGTCCCAAGCTAGCCTATTTCCCGTAGCTGCGAAGGGCACGCAGCTCGGGCCCGCCACCAGCATCTGCACGGACGGGAGCTCCGCCGCGTTGATCTGAAGCATGTTTTTTGTTGCAAAGTCTTCTCTTATCCCCCCTCTAACCCTCTCCCTCCTCAGCCTTCACCTCCCCCTCTTTGCCCGCCAACTCACTGGGCCCCTCGTCATCGCCGTCGTCGTCTTCGTCGTCGTCATCTTCTTCGTTGTCTTCGTCGTTGTCGTCGTCGTCGTCGTCGTCGTCGTCGTCTCGGCGGGACAGACTCAGCAATACAAAATGCAGATGGTCCTGCGTGAAGTCCGAGGGAACGTGCACGTGGCCCATGCTCCCATCGTGGGCCCACGCGCACTGTTTGGCGAGGGTGTAGTCCTTATCGTAGCACTCGGAGACCGCGTCGATCCCGAGCTGTAGTTTGCAATGTTTATTGAGGGGGTGAGGGTTGACCAGGGGAAGGTTTCACTCGAGGTCAGCATGAATCGAGTTCTGGTCCAGTCATGTTCTGATTATCCCTCCCTCCCTTTTCAATCACCTCCATGCTTCCCCTCCCTTCTTACGGGCCACTTGAGTCGAACGTTGATCTAAGTCGGTAGGGGCGGGCCCCGGGCGACCGGCATCACAGTAGCACCCCTTAATGGCCGCGACCATGCTCACAATGCGCATCTTCACATGAAAAAGCAAACGCTGTCCGCTTTCGCAGCAATGAGCGCGGTCTCCATGCCGCAGCACGGCGAAATCATCTTCAGGCACATGGGCTTGGTATCCGTGCCTAAGATCTCCTTGCCGAAGTCCTGCAATGCCGTTTCTGTTTGCTTGGGAAGCTTCGCGCGCTCGAGCAATAACCTTCCACCTCCTGCTCCTCCTCCTCCTCCTGCTCCTCCACCTCCTCTTCCTCCTCCTCCTCCTCCTCCACCTCTTGTTCCTTCACCTCCAACTACGCCTTGAGCCTGAGTGCGTCTCCACCTCCTGCTCATCCTGTTCCTCCTACTCCTCATCCTGGTCCTCATTCTCCCTCCCTCGTTCCTTCTCTTTCTCATGCCCCCCACACACACACCACCACCACCACCGCGTTTTCACGCCCCCCTTCCCTCCCCCTCCCATCCTGCCTTCCATGCGACCTTTCACCTCCCATCTGTCTTTCCCGTCCCATTCCCTGTTGAGCCCTCGCCAGACTTGCCCCCTTTCTCGCTCGGTCCTGCCAGTCCTTCTTGATGATTTTAGGGTCGGGGGCAATCCGCGCCTTCTTCGACGATCCCGTAGCAGCAGCAGGCTTCGCAGAGGTGGACCGCTTCGGCGGCATGGCTCCTCCTGCGAGGGAGGGCAAAGAGCAACCAAAAGCGGGGCGGAGGAGGAGGAGGAGGAGGAGGAGAAGGAGGAGGAGGAAGAAGCGAGTGGGGTAGAGGGGAGAGGGAGAACGGGGGAGCGGGGGAGAGGAGCGGGGAGGGAGGGAAATGGTGCGAGAGGAGGGGGGTGGAGGGAGGCAGGACTCGCTCTGAATCTCCCATTACTGTGGGACATCGTGCACAGCCTAGTAGAACCTTCGAACAAATAATTACACCCACCCCTACCCCCTCCTCCGTCCCCCTCCTTGAACGAGGAGGTGGGAGGAGACGGGGGCCTCCTCTGATCAGATGGCCCGGGGACGCGATCGCCAGTCGGGGTTGGGGAATCCCCTCCCTCCCTCTCCCTTTTCCTTTCCCTCCCTCCTCCCCCTCTCCTGCCCTCCCCCTTCCCCCTCTCTCCCTCCTCGAGCCTTCCTCCTCCTGCTCCTGCTCCTCGACGTCCTCCTCCTCCTCCTCCTCCTCCTCCTTCTCCCCTTCCCTCCCTCCCTCCGTCCCTCCCCCCCTGGCCGAATCATCTGCCTCGCTCTCCTGCGCTCCGCCCGGGCGGTCGGCGCGTCCGTTCACCGCGTCTCTGCTTGCGCCCGGGCCCGATGGCCGAGCGTGCGCGAGCAGGCCGTAGGTAGGTCCCAGGGTGGAGGGTCGAAGTTACATTGCGGCAGATATCACAGGAACGCCAAGAGGGATTCGGGAGAAGTCAACAGGATTGTGAGCAGGGTAAGTGAGGAAGGAGGAGCAGAAACATGAGGAGGAGGAGGCGGAGGAGGAGGGGACACAAGGTGAGGCAGGAGCAAGAGGATTATGCCGTTGCTGCTGATGAAATCAAGGAGGAGGAGAGCGAGGAGGGGAAGTATGAGCAGCAGAAGGCGGGTGATGAAGGTGATGATGATGACGATGATGACGATGATGATGATGATGCTGATGATGATGATGATGCTGCTGATGATGATGCTGATGATGATGGTGATGATGGCGATGGTGTTTTTTGGGCATCCTGGGTGCCACCTTCAGTTTCTCATATTACAGCGAAGGGAGAACTCTTCTGCACAAAAGGCATCAACCGAACACGATCGAATATAGACCTCTCCCACGTGGCACGATGGGATGTTGCGGCGACGCAGGCGAACACGAGGTTCAAAGTCTCGTCTACGAACGTGCTGTATGTCCGCGGATTGCCGCAGAAACCAATTCGCAACGTCATGTGGACGAACATGTGGCACTTGGGGATATAGTGTTGGTCCGCGGTGCCCATGAGGACCAAATGCCGAATGCAGAGGTCCAACAGCTCCTGGCGTTGGTCCAGTGGCAATGTCCTCGGCCCGTCTCTGAGAATCTGCATGTATTTCACGAGGGCGTCGCCTGCAGCTGCTAATGCGGGGCCATGCTCGAAACGATTGCCGAACTCGTGGGAGAATGCCGCGGCCCACCTAACCAAGACGCCAGTCTCCGCCGCTTTTGTTTTCAGGACGAACTTGTCCTCTGAAAAGCCAATCATGCTAGGCGTGAGGGTTTGAAGCTGGTAGCTCAGAGGCACGTTGTTTTGGAAACACCATATTTTGTAGTCGTTGAACAATCGCCGACCCGCCTGCTGTACAACTGTTTCTTTAGCACCTGGAATATTCCAGAAATTTGAACAAATTGCTGCCCGCACCACCGCGTGCACGTACCTGGAGCAGACGCCCAGATAGAGCGTGTGGCGTGTGTCCACATGCAGGGACGTCTCTGGCGTGATCCCTACATCTTCTGAGAAGAGAGGGTTCCTTCGTAGGACGCGGTCGGTCAAGCGCCGATGCCCATCCTGGTGCCTGCGCCAAAAGATGCAGGTGAAAGGGATTGCCGTATGTTCGAATGCTCCTACATCTCGAAGTTCGGGGGAGGGTTCGAGCCGATCCCCCCGCAGAAGATTGAGCTCTGGGACCGGGGCCCTGAGGATGCGGCCATGTTTTTTTTTCCGCGTGTCAAAGTGGAGCATCCCTTGTGTCATCACAAGGCGTCTCTTCCGCTCATCGTCAATGAACGCCACGATCTCGCAGGCGCTACAGTCGTCCGAATAACTAGTGGCACGCTGCCCCCAAGAATGGCCTTCGAGCGTGAGCCCCGTAAAATTGAACATGTCCCTCTTCTTGCAAGGACAAAACAGACACGGGTTGTGAAATGTGCTCCACGTGGGTAGTCCAAGCAAGTTACTGAAGGCCTCCCAGTCGCCTTTCACTTGGACGAGGATGTACCTCGCACCGAGCTGTGGCGCGTCTCGCTGCAATGCTCCGCTGACTGATCCCTCGGGGGCCACGATGCACAGTAACCTTTCCCCGCCCCCCCCCTGCGCGGAGGCCCGGGCGAGGGCCTGAGACGGAGGTGGATGAGAAGGAAGCGGTTGGAAGAAGAAGCAGAAGAAGAGGAGGAGGAGGAAGATGGAGAATAATGGTAACAACAGGACTTTGGGGAGGAGCTGGGGGGGGGGTAACGGCAGGAGCGCCACGCAGCAAGAAAAAGGAATGAAAGGAGTGTGTCGACGCACGAGGTGTCCTGAAATTGCGTTTGCCCCATAGGTGTCTCGGGAGCTCCTGCCACTCGTTCGATTAGCCTTTTACCATCCTGCCCGTCTTCGCCACCTTCTCATGTTCCAGCAATTCTTGCCCTTTCTACCGCCACCTCGCTCACCCCGAAAATCTGCCCCCGTCCGTCTCCCCCTCATCCAGCCACATCCTCCATGAGTCCACCCATCTTCGATCCATCAATACATGCATGCATCCATCTCCTGCTGTCCCTCTGCCCCTGATCGAGACCGTCCTGCCGATCTTCCCCCCTCCAACCTCGATGCCTTCCTCTGTCCCCCCTTCCTTCCCCCCTCCACCTCTTTCCCCCATCCACCTCTTCACCATTGCCCCCGTCTTCCTCTTCCCCCTCCACTTCCTATTCTCCCTCCTCTCCCTCCCCCTCCCACCGCCAGGTTCGATGTGCAATTATAGCCCCCACACCTCAGGCCGCGCTGTCCTGTCCCAGCGTTCAGCAGGCCGTTCGCCCCGGGCAGCGCAACGGTAGGACCACCGAAAGAAATCAAGCACACACCACACCGTACACCACCCACCACAGCCGCACTTGCACGTTTCTCTCTTCGAGAGACATGCCAGTAGGTGTCTGCGCTCCGTGGCGAGATTGTACGTCGTGAAAGCCACTAATGAGTCCGATCTGCCTGGCCCTATGGACCGCGTGAATTTCACGCCGTCCAGGTATAATGCCGCGGGGTAGCATGGCCGAGGGTCACCCTCGCGCTCTCGGAGAGGATGGGATTCAAAGCTAGGTGTCCAGTCCGACGGCTCCAGCGTCGCAAGGTTGTCGCCACTGGTAGCGATGTTCATGACCTCCGCCTCGAGGAGCTCATGCGGTGGCGCCATCAAGATGTTTTTGGTCGTCCGTTGGTTCTTTATCCAAGCTGGGCAACTAACGGAATGCATCTCGGGCGCTTCCTCCGACTTCGGGAGAACCCTGTCCAAGTGTTGTTTGCACTTGCCAGTTTGTTTCCCGGGAGCGAAAGCATACCTCTGCAACCCAGGACTTCGAGCGCCCGCCTCTACAGCGTGGTGGCAGGCTATACAGAACGCCTTCGCGTCCAGCTTGGTGAACGCGTAAAGTTGAAGCAGGTGCTCCTCAAGTCTCTCTGCAGCCTGCAATCGTTGATCGATGTCCTCCCT